GATATGATTCAGTCCATTAAGCTTTACTATCATGTAAATAAGTAGATAATGTCAAGCCCTGCCCCGTCTTTGCTTTCTGATCCTCAACACAGCCACCATCAGAACTGAGTGGCAAAATGTAATGAAGCAGAAACAACACATGAGCAGAACAAGAACAAGCTAGATATGGAAAGGAAAATTCTGAAAATTACAAATTCTTACATCTAATAGCCAAATATTGGTTCCATGAAGATTTGGTGTAGTGGTTAAGTGTGCAGACTCTAATCTGGGAGAACCGGGTTTGATTCCCCACTCCTCCGCTTGCACCTGCTGATGTGACCTTGGGTCAGTCGCAAGCTCTGGCACAGCTGTCCTTGAAAAAGAGCAGTTTGTGTCAGAGCTCTCTCAGCCCCACCCACCTCACAGGGTGTCTGTTGTGGGGAGGGGAAGGGAAAGGAGTTTGTAAGCCGCTCTGAGGCTCCAAGTGAAGGGCGGGGTATAAATCCAATCTCTTCTCTTCTTCTTCTTCTTCTTAAATAATACATATAACAGTGCCACCCGAGGGTCAGGAAAACCCAAGGTTTGCAGACAAATCCCACTTGTTAAAAAAATTGGGTGAACCCCCCCCAAAAAAACATTAAGGACAATGTCTGTGCATTCATGGGGGTCTGCACATATACAGACATCAATTTAAAAAAACAACAATTTGTCATGGCAACCCAAGATGCCACACAAAACTGTCGTGGCCACAGCAAAAAGGCAAAGCTAAGGCCAGCTCCCGTTTCCCTCTTCCACCCACTTCCTTCTCCCTCTTATATGTAGGGCAAGATTGGAGAGGTGAAGGGGAGAGGATAGGTGTGGGCGAGAAGAGCAGGCAGGCATAGAGAGGAAAGAGCAAAGAAGCAGCAACAAAGACCAAAGGAGTTGGGGTACAGATGGGATTTCTCTTCCCCTGAGAGTCCTCATGGGTCTCCTTTCGGTCAAATCTACAATTATGACAGCATCAAACAAGAAAATATTGGTCAATTCTGTAACAGCAGGATAGGCCCCATTTGTGAAGTGTATCAGTACTCATAAAACCCATGCCTCACCATGAATTGTTTACAGGCTGGGTGACTTTCTTATTCGACAAGTCAAGGCAGTTCCTTTTAGAGGAGCGGCAGTTTTACTGGTCCAGCTTGTAATATGGAGGTTCTCCACTTAGCACTGTCTTGACCCACTTGCATCTGGCGTTAAGAAACAGTGTGGTGTGAATAAAACGCCAACGATCTAATATAAGAAGAAATGAAGGGCTAAATAAGAGAAGGGGACAGGGAAGTGATCTGTTGATCCCAGGGTCAAGAACACTGTGTGGGTCAGCAGTGACAGCTCATCATATCCCAGGCTCTCAGTGTTCCAAACATAAAGTCCAGGGAAAAATAAAGCTTTCCCATCTTTCTCTGTTTCTCCAAAGCATTGTCAAGATCTCACTGGTTTCCAGCCCAGCCTTCTCATTATAACATGGCAGCCCTATGTAAAACTTCATGGACAAGGTCCATTCAACATGGGCATTCTTCCTGTGAGATTTTGTTTGTTCTACTTGCACCTTCCTCTGCAACAGACTGTCTCCCATACTTACTTCAGTTTGTTCCTATTCAAACAGATTGTCATCCTAGAAACTGAAACCAGATGTACATTAATCAACCAAGAAGAAGAGGAGGAGGAGGAGGAGGAGATTGGATTTATATCCTGCCCTTCACTCAGAGGGGTTTACAAACTCCTTTCCCTTCCCCTCCCCACAACAGACACCCTGTGAGGTAGGTAGGGCTGAGAGAGCTCTTTCCAGAACTCTTTCAAGAACAGCTCTGACAGAACTACAGCTTGCCCAAGGTCATCCAGCAGCTGCAAGTGGAGGAGTGGGGATTCAAACCCGGTTCTCCCAGATTAGAGTCTGCACACTTAACCACTACACCAAATACAGTTGCCAATGTTTGATCCAGGTGGGTCGAGGATTCTGGAATGAGAAGAATTATTATTGGGACTCTGGCTGTAAGGAACCGGCTGGTACAGCTGAGGTCACTGGGAACAAGGTCTGGCAGAGGGTCAACAAGTCACTGGGAAGGTGGGATGTATGAGACAGTGGAAGCCAATCACTCAGAATCTTAATCAGTGCAAAGGGGGAAAGGATGCTACTTTAATATTTTACTGTGGTAGTTTGATTTGCCTACAGGAATGTATCACAGATGCTTCCCAGCCATCGTGCTTTATTTTAACTAAGTGTCAAGGCATAATAAAATTCTTAAACTGGTTTGTGGCAGAGAGAAAAAACATGCAACATACTTTAATCAAAATAGGGGGACCAAGTTCTTTAGATTTTACTTTCTAAAATGTTCATTCCCAAGATACACATCAACAAATCCGGTTTCTTGTTTTTATTAGCTGTCATTTCTCCATCCAGAACAAGATAATGAATCGGCCAAAGTACTGCAGTCTAAAGATATCAGACACCATCTGAGTGGAACGCACTTTGCAGCCAGCAATACGTATTTCCTTTCCAATGCACACTTGTTTCCAGACTATTACATTAATTTGTTTTGGAATCCAAGCACAGGTTCAGATGAATTTGATATTCCCACACACAAAATACAGTCTCTAGAAAGGTTATGAGATGGAATCCAGCCTTGGGTGCTTCTTGAAGGAACACTAAATAAATAAATATAAATAAATGAAAAACCATGATAAATATGTACTTAGCATATGAATCTGTTTGCCTGCCTTGTGCTCTTGAATTGCTTTTTGGATGAGGGTGGGGGAGAGAGGGACTATCAGAAAAAGGGAGATAGAAGTGACAGTGTTAGGAACTTACAATGTTTCATGAGAGACAAAGCTCCCAAATACTCATTGCTTCTAAGAAATCATGGGGATATGCATCCAGAAATGTAGCCGATGGCATAACTTTACAACCTATATGATAGAATAAACGAATTCCGTGACTGAGGCTAATAAATTACAGTGTATGGTCACAGGAATACTGTGGATAAGGGGTGTAAAATATGCAAATCTGGGGCAATGTAGAAGAAGACAAATCAAATTAAACCCAATGAACTATCCATTCCAACCAATCAAGGTATGTCAACATAGTAGCTAAAGAAAAGGAGTGAACAGGAATACCATGTCAGCATGTGAGAGTAAAAGAACAACTATATAGTAGATTTACAGTGCCATCCTATGTAGAGTTACTCCAGTCTAAACCCATTGATTTTACCTCTGCATATGGCTGCAGTGCTAGTGGATACAGTGAGTAAAATTATAATTAAAATAATAAAGCATATGGAACAAGTAGTGAGAAGAAATGAGAGGGATTAAAAGATATAACTGCCACCTCTCCTTATGGAGAAGTTTCATTTTTCTCACACATGTCCTGGCTTTGTTGGTGAATGAACTGGATTTATACTTAATATTGGAACATTTCAACCTATGCTCTGCTAGCAGAATACCTATCTTTTTTCTTAGCAACTGTTCTTGCTCATGCAGAGGTTGTACAATAATTGAATATGAAACAATAAGATATACAGAGATTCTGATATCCAAATATTATTTTAACATTATCTTGTAGATGCTGAAGGGATATTCACATTTTGGAGATAGTGGGGTGGATCCAACCATCCTCCAAGTAGCCTTCCCCTAACGTTAATTACTCTTCCTACCATGGAATAGAATGTTAATTTAATGAGTTTGAAAAAGGCCCCTTGGATTGGAGAAAGGCTGAAAACCTGAGCCAGAAGGAAATGTGGGGCGTGAATATGTAATAAAAAATAAAATTAATATAAACTTTGCTCAGTGGAAGAGGAGTATAGGGGTAGGATCCAACACAATGCCTCTAAAACATCTACCTTGGAACTTTGTGTTGAGACATGCATACAAGTCCATTAAATATATACAACAAAATATTTAGCAGATCATGCCAATCAGCATTCCGAAGGAAGCAGCTTGTTCATACCACTTGACATGTTGTCTAGTCCACTGTCATACCTGCTCTATCATATTAGCATAAAATAAGTTTGTTTGGGAATTCAAGTAAGCCACAGAGTGATGGCTCTGCTGTAGGCTAGTTATCAAAAGCCTTGATCCATGAGGTGGGAAGTAATAGGTGTGGCCAAATACAGTTGTTTAATTTGATTCCAATTATTGCTGTCAATTATTTTTAAACATATTTTTATTACCACTGTAATTGGTCTAATCTGACTTTCGGACTTTTTGAGCTTTGTTTCACTGTATTTTTTCCATTTTCAGAGCTATGATGTTTGGAAACCACACTGAGAATTGTTATTGAGAATGTGATACATAAATATATTAGGTCAATAATGTGCACGACAGATGGTACTTGATGAGTGGGTGGGATAAAGGTATAACATAGGACACATCAGGGATCAGCTTAAACAAAAGTTGCATGTACACATAAGATGAGCTAGCAGAGTTCAAATACCAGGTCAGCCAAAAAGAGTATTGGGTGACCTTGGACTAACCACAATCTCTCAGCCACCTGCCTCACAGGGTTGTTGTGAGGATAGAACGAAGTAGAGGAGAAACATATGTGGTTCCTAAACTGGTTGGAGGAGGGTCAACTTTTTTTTAAGAACCATTTAAAATTTAAAACCCACAGCACTTTCGCTCGACTCACAGTTCCATCCTAAACACAGTTAACTCTTCTAAGCCCACTGCCGAAGTAGAGGAGAAACATGTGTGGTTCCTAAACTTGTTGGAGGAGGGTAAAAAAATTTTTTTAAGAACTAAAACCACAGCACTTTCGCTCGACTCACAGTCCCATCCTGAACACAGTTAACTCTTCTAAGCCCACTGCCTTCAATGGGCTGTTTAGGATTGCACTGCTGTTCCAAGTTATTAACTGTCACCAGTTAATAACTTGGATTAGACACACCCACACCCGGTCCACCTCACCTACCCCACCCTGAATCAGAGCCACGGTCAACTCGACCCCTCCGCGAGGGGGCCGCTCGACGCGCCGGCAGTGCCGCCCTTACCCCGTTGGCCGCCGCCATCTGCACCACCACCTCGATGGCCGTCTTGCTGAAGTACCTGCCGTCGCTGCCCACCACCATGGTGCAGCCCTGGCGGTCGCGCAGGTCAATGGATGAGAGCACGCTCTGGATGAAGTTGGGCAGATAGTTCCTCTGGCTCTCGAAGACCGCCGTGGGCCTCCTCAGCCCCCCGCCGCCCGTCGGCCTCTGGTCCTCGTACGGGACGGTCTGCACGGTGAGCACCGGGATAGGACTCCCCTCCATGGCGCGGCGGCTTCTCCCCGCGCGCCTCGAGCCCCGGCCTTGCCCACCCTTCCCCTCACGAAGACGCGGACGACTGCTCCGAGAGCCTCGCGCCGGAGGTCAGAGGGGCGAAAGCCGAGCCCCACCCCGCGCTCACGGGAGCCGCCCGGGAGCTCCAGTCCCCCGGCGCCTCTCTTTCCCGCCCAGCTGGGAAGCCGCGGCTTCTAAGGGCTCTACATCACGCCCATATTGTCGCCGGAGGAAAGGGGCCGAGGGGAAAGGGCGGTTTTCTGCTGCTGGGGAGCCTCGGCAGCAGCTGCTCTCTTGCTGGCCTCGCGACAATGCTCTGCGGAGCAACCCGCCTGCCCTTTTTGAACAAGGACGCAGGGGGGGCTACCAAACCTTCATGGCCACGGCCCAGCGGCAGCCTCCCCCCCTCGGCCAATAATAACCCTGGAAAGAGAAGCCGAGGATTGTTGTCTGCTGCCAGAGATGTAACTGGAAGCTGAGGGTCTGTGTGTGTTCAAACACATTTGTTCCAGGGGATCATGTACTGTCAGGTCTCCAGCTTTATATTTTGTACAAAACTGCCCAGCCCTTTCTAGAGCTTTACAGGCAGCCTGCTGGGATTGCCGCTTGGATAAACTGAGAGGTTTCCTAAGGTGTTGTAACTGCAAAGGAGCACACATTCAGGGGGGGCTGCAGGGAGAGGTATCCTTTTCTCCACCACCACTCAAAGTATTTGTAACTAAAAATCTGATCGGACCTGACCAGTGTTCCCTCTAAGCTGAGTTAGTGTGAGCTAGCTCACAGCTTTTTAGCCTACGGCTCACACATTTTTGTGTTAGTTCAGGAAGGATGGCTCCAGAGCAAACTAATTTATGCAGTAGCCTAATCGCTCACTCACAACTTTAATGCTAGTAGCTCACAAAGGAGAATTTTTGCTCACAAGACTCCACAGCTTAGAGGGAGCATTGGACCTGACCTGCTCATACCATTAAGGTAAAACAAGAGAACAAAAACCGTATTTGTGATTTTTCAAGAGGAGTAAATATGCCCCATTCCACAACTGCAGGATGAATAGGAGACTTGTGACATCTCAGCTACTAACAAAATGTTATTCCAGCATAAACTTTCATGCACAATATTCCACATCTGAGTGCTTTTCCTGTGATTCTGACTTTATTTCATTTTAGCTCATTTTAGCTTTTATGTCAGCTTGGCACCCAGCTCGGCATTTTAAAATAAAAGTATTCTAAAAATGAAGGTTTGTTCCTGTTTAAAATGCAAATGAGTTTTTTTAAAAGTTATAATATGGAAATTTTGCCAGATCAACAGAGGCCCTCATAACATTTGAAGTGTTGCCATTGCCCTTTTTTATCAGAAGATTGCAGAGGTGATTGGAGACAAGGACACCTATAATGATGGGAAATGGGGGGATGAATGAGGAGGTCTTGGTGACATAAAGAACATTGCAAGGTCTGCTTCTGCTGAGGAAGAAGCATTTCAGTGAATTCAGAGTTCCTCAGTGAATTCTTATACTTGAATGAGATAGCAAAACAGGAGCCCTGCAGAAAACATTTTGATGCTTTAAAAATAACGAATAGATCATTAAGTGATGACATTCAGGAGATTTTAAAAGCTTGCATACTCTCAGAATGTGGAGTTGGTCCAAAGAGTGAAGTTATCTCATCTAATTGCAGCTCACTTCACAGCCTAGTTTTGCTAAAACGTTTGGTCTGAAGCTAATCTGCAATCCAATCTCATGCATATAGATTCAGGTGGGTCTGTTGGTCTGAAGCAGTAGAACAAAGTTTGAGTCCAGTGGTACCTTAAGACCAACAAAGTTTAATTCTAAGTATAAGCTTTTGTGTGCATGCACACTTCTTCAGATACATTGAAACAGTTTTCTTCAAGCCTTACATATGGGGGGGGGTAGTTGCCAGGAAGAACTAGTTAGAGTCAAGATGCATAAGATACTCTAACTATATGTGCACCATTTTTCCAATTGACCTTCTTCCCCAAGCTGCAATCAACACTGAGGAAAAGAAGACAAGCAAAAACAGCTCATCCGTCACCACAGCTTCTCTTTGGTGTCAAAAATACATAGAAAGATCCAGTTATGCATCTCTGGTGTACGTTGGCTCTCAGTTTTAGGGTTTGTAAGAGGACAGTTTGCACCCTGAAGGCCAATTATAAGCTATGGAAACTTAAAATATTTCTTCCTTGCACTGTTACTGCTTAACAGGAAATCATGTTCATTTATATTATTTATTTATATTTATTATTTTTATTTATTTATTTATCTCATTGATACTTTGTCTTTATCCTCAGTGGGAACCCAAAGTGACTTACATAATTGTCCTCTCCTCCATTTTATCCTCACAACACAACCATGTGATATAGATGAGGCTGAGAGTCTATGTCTGGCCCATGGTCACTAAGCAAGCCTCCATGGCAGAGTGGGGATTTAAACCTGGGTCTGCCATATCCTAGTTTTTCACTCTAACTACTATACTGCACTGGCTATTTGGATTTTATCTCCATTCTGTATAATATGTATTTAATATAGCTAAATCCTGCTCTCCTACTAATGGTTGTTGCCACCTTTCACCTACCCTCACACACATCATCTTCAAGTAAATAAAAATAAAAGTTTATTCTAGACTTCTCACATTTCTCTGTATTGAAGGGTGCATGTGGCAGAGTCATAGTTCACCCAGGTCCCTGCAGGAATGTATAAATCAGAACACTATGGCCTAATACTGACAGATTCACACAGTATATTTAGGGATTTTTTAATCATGTTTGAATTCCATTTTTCCTCTGAGGAATTCATGGTTGGGTGCCAGACATTATCCCATTTTTTTCTTCATTACCAGCCCTATGAGAATGACCAAGATTGGGTAGCCACGTTAGTCTGTCTGTATCAGTAGAAAAGAGCAAGATTCCATTAGCACCTTAAAGACTAACAAAATATGTAGCAGGGTATGAGCTTTTGTGAGTCACTGCTCACTTCTTCAGTCACTGCTCATTTCTGGTATCTGGTATCATGAAAGCTCATCCCCTGCTGCATATTCTGTTAGTATTTAAGGTTCTACTGGACTCTTGCTCTTTTCTACTGCCAATGGGAATGGTTAGACTGAAAGATAGTGAATAGTCCAAGGCTACCCAGCAGACATCACAGATGATTCAGGATTTTAACATGGACCTCTACTCTGATGCCAACATGCCAATTACTAAACTACACTTGAAGCCATGCAGACTTTTATTTCAGGATAGGGACAACATGTGTGTTGCAAAGCAATCTTGTGAACTAGCCAAGCACAATTTCTGGGAGGGGTTGTGGCTTAGTGGCAGAGCGCAAGCAGAAGATTCTAGGTTTAATACCCAACATCTCTAGTGGAAAGGATCTGGCAAGGTGATGTGAAAGACCTCTGTCTGAGACCCTGAAGAGCCACTACCAGTCTGAGTAGACAGTACTAACCATGATGGACTGATGGTGTGATAAGGCAGCTTCATGGATTCATGTGAACATAACAAACTTGATTTTCCTCAAACAATTCATTGTGTACAGCAGATCTTTGTGCTCAGTACACCCAGTTCACATGACTGACCCATTTGCCATTTTCTCATTCAGTCCATAAAGGGACTAGGGCTGTGGTCACACGCACCTTTAGATCTGATATAGGTGCAAATGCCTCATGGATCTAAAGGGAGTGATCAAACAGCAACATCTGGGAAGCGTCCCGCAGTCGTCGGCAACCCATGCTGCTCTGCTGCAGAAGCAGAGTTTAACGACACTGGGGAAAGTCTGGTAGTAAACAGGTTCTGATGGAAAACAGGCGGACTTTCCCCTGTCTGATTGCTCAAGCATGCTCTCAAGCCGTCGGGATGGTCTGATCAGGCCATCCCAGCTCGGTGCCGTTTCCCCCCCCCCTTGCAGTATGTGCATCATTGCATACTCCATAGGGGGCCCTCAGTGCATGTTGGGTGTTACAAGTCAAAACACTTCAGTATTTACAGGGTTAATGATGTTTGTTATGAACAACAGGAAGTCACATGTTTGTTTGTAACCAATCTGTTTAGACAACAGAATGCCCAGGAACTTTGGAGCTAACTTGCTAGTCTGATTGGAAACCAATGTGTCAAGTATTTAGCATATTGGCTTCTTCTTCCTCTCTTCGTTCTGATTAAGGAAGAAGACGCCGACCATTCCCGTTTTACCTTTCAGCTGTAAGGATGTAGGCATATTAGCTCTTTGTTATTTTATATCCTGTGTACCTTTTCCCCATGTTAGGTTTATAGTAAAGTTTTATATTTTAATACACACCCTGGACTCAGTCTCTTACTAATTACTCTGCTGACTTACTCAAAAGAATCCCAACAGTGCAGAGGTGCGTTTCCTCATTTATGCACATGGGAGACAGATGGCCAAAAAAACACCCAATTTACCCACAGTTGCATCTGATCACACAGTGATGGGCTGTGCCTGCACCTACAAAGGGAGGTGTGATCTCGCAACTGCATGTCAAATTCCTCCGGAGGGAATAGCCTCACTTCCCCTCCACTTCAACTGGCGCGTGTGACCACAGCCTGAAGTGTTTATTTCAATTCAGTTGAAATAAGGACCCAAAGCAGATTTTAGTAAGTTAAATCTGTGTTGTAGTCTACCCAGCAAAATACTGAAAACATTTCACGCCCACGCATAGTGCAAGACCCACCCCAGCAACTAATATGTGTGAAAGGTTCTGTAGTAACATTTGCTTGTTTTTCATTACAATTTACTGTGTAAAGACTGTTAAATCCTAAGGGTTTAATCAGTGTGGATGGGATTATGGTTTTGTGAAGGAGGGATGATTTATCTTTTTTAAGTGGTAATTTACCTTCCACAATGATGGCACTAGACAAATGCTAACAATAATATACCATAGATGGTACCATTAGGTGACTGCCAGTGCAATTTACGCAAAGTTACTCCTGTTTAATTAGTGGGCTTAGACTTGAGTCCAAGCATAGGATTGCACAGTACATCATCTATGGCTATGCAGCTTTTAATTGCTCTGAGACCACCTGTATCTGACAAGACATATTGAGTGACTTCAAACTACTCACAACAATTATGCCTAAGCACTTATAAGTGATCAGATATAATGGTTAGATTCACGCCCAATAGGAATACACTAAAAAGCTTACAAAAATCTTCTAAATCCAAGATGTACATAGTCATTGTTCTTAAAATGAACAGAAAAACTGTAATCTTTTAAAAATGTGTAGTCTTGTGCTGTGGAAACTAAGCAACCTGCCAGTTAAAACAAAAACAAAACATTGCCAACCTAAGTGGTTACCTATATATTGAATAGTGAAGTATGGACCCATCTGCAAATATCTAAATCTGTAGATCAGGGCCATATTTAACCAAAACAGATAGTTCTGCACACTTGGGGTACTCTTCAGGTTTGCAGAA